TTCCTTTCTAAGAGTTGCTGTGGTCATGGTGTCTCTTCACAGCAATAGACACCATCACTATGACAGTAACACATGAGCATTCTACTATCATGTTCTAGAAACAGAAGGCACAGTGCTAGGTCGCATGAAAGCATCAGTCAGAAGGATACACTGGCAGGTTGAGGGGATTCATAGTTTTATTTGGGATTTCCACAAAAAAGGCAATCCGAGGCAGGGTTATTGGTTTAGGAAAGCATAGTTTGAGTAATTTCAGAGTTCTAAGCCTCCTGAGTGATCATTTTGTTTCCTGGCCCTGGGATAATCAAGGCAGAGGACAGTTGCCTCTTGAGGTGTGGCTCAGGATGAATGAGTCTGTATAATGTACCCCAGGCATGCTTCTACCTAACCTCACTAGTTCTAAGAACTGGCTCCAGGAGGAGCAGAAACTCCCAGCAAGAAAGACTAAGATGCTGAAACATCATAGCGTAACAAAAAGCACAGAATATTCTATTCAAGCTACTGTGCCACCCTAACCTGCTTTGTGCTTCCTTTGCTAGTTTGTTTTGGATGTACTTGACTTTTGGCTTATCTCAAAATCTCAATCAAACACATCTTTTCTGAGGCTGAAGCCCTGATGACCCAGAGGCACAGTTAATACATTTTCTTAGGTTATATCCCTGTGACTACAGCTGTACTTACTGGTTAATACCCCCTTTTCCTCTATCAGTGGTAGGACCTTTTGAAAGGCTGGGAAGTGGGGAGAGGTGTTTGGATAAATGAATGAATGAATGAATAAAATCTCCCTATTCCAAAGGCAGTATCCCACATCCCCTCCGTTTCTCCACTCTGGACCATGAACCAAATCTCCAGCCTGGATGGTGACAGCTCCTTCCTTGCCATCCTTCACCTCGTGCTATGTGACCACTGGGGCTGTGTGCCGAGGCTGGAACAGCTGAAGAAGGCTCAGTATCTGCACCAGTCAGTTATTGAGACCATTAATCTGAGTTTTAATACCATGAGAGTAATTCACTAAGCAAGACAGAACATGTATTTTGAGAGATTTGTGAAGCTAATAATAATAATTTAGTGCTAAAAACTAGGAACCTCAACATTCATAGGCTATTATTTGAAGCTTTTTGCTTACTTTTGTGTGTAGTACTAAGGATCAGATCCAGGATGTCATGTATGTTAGGTGTGATGGCTGTTCTTCACTGTCAACTTGACTCTGTATGGAATTAACTGAAGCCTAAATGGCTGTGCACACCTGTGAGGGCTTTTTCTTCGTCAAGTCATTTGAAGTGTGAAGTCCCACTTCCAACCTGGATCTTTGGATGGGAAGATGCACCTTGACCTGGGCCACACCTTTGGCTGGCAGCTGATATAAAGGACATGGAACAAGGAAGTCCTCTCTTTCCCTTTGCCTGCTTGCTCTTGCTCTCAGTCTCCAGAGCAAGTCCATCCCCTTATGGCAATAGAGCATAGAGCCTGATTCTTCACCGAAGAGCAGCTAAGACATCCAGACGTGTGTAATGAACAGCTACTGGGTTCTCAAACCATTTCTTGGTGGACAGCCATTGTTGGACGAGCTGGACCACTGGCTGTAACCCATTCTAATACCTCTCCTCTCTATATGTTCAATCTATACATATCGTTCTGTAAAGTCCTGTTCCTCTAGAGAACCCTGACTAATACACCAGGCAAGTGTTCCACCACTGAGCTACACCCCAGATTCCTGTTGTAAGCAGACCTTAATACAAACCAGCATCTTAATATACTAATCTTTGGGACACCCCATGTGGTGAGGAAAGGATACTATTTCTGGAAAAGATGTAGTATCTTTCCTGGTGAGGGAAAACCTCTCTGTGAATTCACAGCTGCTTCTGGTAAATCTGGCACATCTTCATTAAGCCATTTGGCTTACTGCTCTGTGACTTAGACTTACTTCCCCTCAGATGATACTAGTCAATATTTACATACAGGAAAAGGACACAAGCTTCCTGCTTGAAAGCACTTGAGTTAAAAGTCATCGTGAATGTGCCCCCATTCAGGTTCCCAGTGTGGCTTCCTCCAACAGCACAGCTTGTTTACCCAAGTATTTTAGGGATTGCCTGTTTCTGAGAAGGACACAAAGCACAGAGCAGCTTAAAGGCGCCCTCTAGGGCTTGGTTCACAGGAGACAGAGCCAATGTTTCCAGGGACTGTGCAACTGGAAAGGCGCTACAGAAATAAACAAAAGGAAACAACTGAGGGAAAGATGAGCACGGACTTCAGGTGGGGGACTGAGACAACGGCTGCCACACTGTGGAAACAGGACCACGGGATCTAACCGAGACATTAAGTAACACACAAAACTAATTCAAAGTGGATTTTAAAGTATTTTCCCTTTTCATTCTCAGCCAAGTGCAGTACCAGATCCTATATTTTGAAATTCATTTACAGCACTCACCTTAGAAATAACTGTACATTGTGGGATGAAGGCTGAAATTCTTCTCAGTAGGTGGTTTTAAAACTCTATGCTGCCTCATTTATTTGCCTCTGTAGCTCTATAAAGACATCCCTGTTCTGTGGCCCTTCAGAAACCACAGTTCCAATGACCTAACTTTTTACTTCTTCCTTTTTTTGTTCAGTCATCCATAAAACGAAGGGAAAATGAAAGATCCAGCTTGGGCAATGGCCTGACATCCTGCCCTGAAATATTGCATTCCTGAATGCTAGGTCTTCTGGTATATACAAATCAAAAAGGAAATAGAAATGTAAAATATTTTATTACATATTTTTCAATTCATAAATATATACAGTATGTACACAGCACTGTATTTAAGTGGTTACACGACATCATTGTAGAAAGCAGTCAGGAATGTTGGCTTTGGAGTATAACAACTATCCAGTGGTACTAGGGCCCTCCACGTATATGGTATGCCACGTAAAGAATTAGTGAAGAGTATCTTGAGGAGAAAAACAGAAAATGATTAACTATATGGTTTAGAGCTTACTTTAATTGTATTTTTTAATTGTATTTTCAGAGGCAAGAGTTTCTCTGTGTACCCCTGGCTGTTCTGGAACTTGCTCGGTAGACCAGGCTGGCCTCAAACTCAAGAGATCCACTGCCTGGTTACTTTAATTGTACTTGAACCCAATATTTCTTATATAAAAAAAAAATAAGCTACTAGGCCAGGCAGTGGTGCCACCCGCCTTTAATCCCAGCACTCAGGAGGCAGAGGCAGGAAAATCTCTGAGTTTGAGTCCAGCCTGGTCTACAGAGTAGAGTGAGTTCCAGGACAGCCAGGGCTACAAAGAGAAACTCTATCCCTAAAATCAAAAACAACAAAACAAAAATAAAAAATTAGCTGTTGACTTATGAAGCCTAAATTTGCTTTCAATAAATTGGTCAATATAACATGATATATTTATAGTCTGTTATTTATAATATTTACTTATAATTGAAAAGCAACACTTTAGAAAAGTGCTCTTAAAATATTACAATGTGTGAAAAATCCTATGTTGGGAAAAAAAAATCACCCAGCTCAATAACTGTAAATGACATGAGAAACCAGTTTTATAATGAACTGGATTTCTACCACATCATACTTTGTCTAAGAGGGGCTAGCCCACTGACAGACAGGGTGAGGTATTAGAAGGAAGCATGCTGAGTCAGCAATAATATAACCAAAAATTTTAAGTACATTTGAAAATATCCTTAGACATTTATTTAACTACAAGCATAAATAAAACATGAAAATACTGAACACTAGCTTTGAACCTAGACTCAAACAGATTTGTAACTGAGAAAATGTGGGCAGATCAATTCTGAAATGGTGACGGCACAGAGTCTAGCTTACGTAACATCAAGACCTGACCATGGAAAGTAGCATTGGAATTCTTTTTTTCTTTTTCTTTCTTTTTCTTTGTCTTATTGTCAGTGTTAATGTATCACCTAGTAAATTAACTACAACACATAATGGGGAAATAGAACCTTTTACTGTATCTCACATTTTACAAGTTATAAAAATAAGTTTTTCTATAGGTAAAAATGAAAGAACTGTATGTACTACAAGTCTCCGAACACGGCTGGGCAGCACTGACCGTGCCCAGTCACTGAGTCCTGACGCTCCGCAGCCACAGTCAGATCAGAAATCTTTCGTCCACCAGGGTTTTGGTTGCCAGATTCTTTTGTCCTACTGTATTGCGGATAAACCGAAAAATCTGGAAAAATAAAATAGTCAAGAAGGAAAGTAAATATTCAGAAAAAATTAAATATGCAAACCAATTAAAAATAGCTAAATTAGTTAATTTTCTCAACCATTTCTTGTCATGAATGAGATATTTTAATTACTTGATATAATTATTTTAAAACTATAAAATACTAGGAAATACTTTTATGAATTAATATATACATCTCATGCACACAAGAATATACTTTTAAATACTTAAGGAATTTTTTTTAACTGCCTAAAACTACAGAAGCATCAAAAGCATCTCTTTGGTAAGGACAGAATTTGTCTCTGATTCTAGATTTCTACCCAGGGATAATAAATCTTGTCCTAACTCATGCCTTCTTCCTTCATGCAGGAGGGTGTTTGGGTCCTATTAATAATGGCATTTCAAGAACAGTTGCCATTTCTTGAACTTTCCATTCCAGAGGCTTTACCCACTCAGTTATTCACTAGGCACACAGGTGAGGCTGTGTGAGTCTAGTGGACAGCCCTGAATGGCCTCTCCAGGGCTTGCTTTTTTTGTTTGAGTGGGACTGTTATGAAAATGAATGCTTACTTTTCGTACGTGGGAGACTGGTAGTTAAGTATCTTCCTGGTTGCTCAGGGAACGTCTGCCCTCCACTGGATCCTAGCATTTTACTGTCCCCAGGGACAGAGCACAGAGTGTGATCTGCTGAATGGTATTTCCTTTCTTTGGTAGGGTTAATCATATTCTAAACATTCCCCAAAGCCTGCTGTAAGTGGATGTTCATACATTCTGTTAGGAAAATAAATACCCACATTTCTGACACTTCTGCATTAGAAGAAGCCCAGAACACGCCTTTAGAGTTACCTCTTGTTGCAGGTATGTGAGGAAGGATGCTAAAACAAAATCCTGGCAAGCCAAGTCCACAACACAGAAGAACAGCAGATCAAAGATGAGGAGCGTGGCCTCATTTCCATAATAAAGCACACTGCTGAAAGAATGGCCTTCATCTACAAAAACCACGGGTAAGATAAAGAATCAAAGTTAAAATCCAGCAAGGCACAGCACAGGTGTTCGAGAATTTCCGTCTCCGCTTCCTACAGTTCGTCCTCTCTACACTCAACACACAATTCTGTCCTTTGTGGGATGTGAACACCCTTTTAAAAGCCTGATGAGTGCTACAGACACTTTTACCACAAAAAACAAACAAAAAAATCAACTAGACATGCACAAATGCTATAAATAACTTTTAGGGGTTCAGAGAACCCCCAACACTGCCAGAGGAGTCCGTTTTATACAAGGTGGTAACATCAGGGTACTGGTACCATTCCGTCATGACTGGTGCTAGGAACAAGGATGATTCAGTTTGTGAAAATTTCCTGGTCTGTCAGCAACACCCTTACAACACATGCACTTCTCTATGTATGTACAGGCATGCAATTACACATAAGCAGAACGGTGACCGCTACCTCTTCTAGCAACGACACACAGGATGGCCCTAGTTAACTGTGCACCTTCTCTTCCTCCCAAGAGCTGCTCCCTTATGCTTCCTTAATGGCCACCTCTTCCTACATGTCCTAAGTCATCTTCAGATACAACAGTCTCATTCTCATCCTCAGACCTGTCCTCATCTTCTGATCCCTCGATTAGGGAAGGGCATCACCATTATTCACTAGGTTGGAATCCCAGCTGGAAATCTGGATAATTTTTTGTCTTCCTTTCCTCTCTTTATTCTTTTTAATTTGTTGTGTGTGGTAGTGGTAATGACGGTGGTAGTGTGTGTGTGTGTGTGTGTGTGTGTATGTGGTGTATGCACACGTGTGTGGGAGTATACATGTCTGTGCATGCATATGATGGCTGTTGATGCTAGAGGGTGTGTGTGGTGTATGCACATGTGTGTGGGAGTATACATGTCTATGCATACATATGATGTATGTGGATGCTAGAGGAAGGCATCAGGTGTCTCTGCCTTACATTTCTGGGACAGGGTCCATCATTAAAGTTGGAGCTAGGCTGGCAGCTGGTAAGCCCCATTTCCTTATGCTCCATCACCCTTGCTGGGGCAGTGAGGTTACAGACAGGCATGTGGTTGTGGTCCAGCTTAATGGTTACGGTGGTCCAAACTCAGGTTTCATGCACACACACCCATCTCTTCTTTATTGATGAGATCTCACTGTGTTGCTCAGGCTGACCTGAAACCTGAGGTCTTATCTCAGCCTCCTGAGTAGACAGAATTGAAGGGGCATACATGCCATACATGCCCAGAATTGACTAGTTTTCCTTTCCTATTGCCTCTTTCTCCTAACATCTCGGGTGAACCCTTTTATTCCTTGTATTCATCCTACTACCTTAAACTTATCACCCTCTCCTGATGAAGACTGAGACTGAGAGAGAAATGGAGGGTAGGAAAAGAAGGAAGAGACACAGGAAAAGGAAGGAATAGGAAGAACACAAGAAGACAACTGTCAATTGTGCTTTAGAACATCCTCCCTCACCAACTACACGAACATCACTCTCCTGACACCCACCCTACACCCCTCTCCTGACACCTACCCATAACAGGCTCTGCTCTAGTTTTTTTGCACATTATTATTACATAAAAGCTTTAGAAGGTCATACTAACTTTAGAGAGAAGGGAACTTTAAAAGTTCAGATAGGTTAAGCAACATTTTGAAGTTCACAAAGCTAATGAGCATCGAGTCGGGTTTTAAACCTAAGGTCAGCAGACTCTGAAGCTATATTCTTAACAACTGGCTCATTTCTTTAATTCAGCCTGCACTATGCCGCCAGAGTAACTCATCCGACCTACATACTGGACCAGTTTACACACTTCAGTAGCCATGCTCATTAGCAGTAGCTTCTAAAACTGCTTTCATCATGTGTCCTCACCAAAATAAAATGCTGGTAATGCACGCTCACAGTAGACATATCCTATTACCTTTTATATTATAAACTGTTAAAAATACAGGTTAAGAATAATGGAATGACACATTTATAAAGTAATTTTAGTATTTTACACCTCCATGAATCAATTTACATATAACTGGTGGTGTAAATTAAGAATTTCTTTTGAACGACTAGTCTGTAAGATAAAGGGAAACTCACAAAACAAATTCTCTAAAAAATGTTTTTTGTTTTTTTGTTTTTTGTTTTTTTTTTAATGGGGCTGGAGAGATGGCTCAGCAATTAAGAGCACTGGCTGCTCTTCCAGAGACCTGGACTTGATTCCCAGCACCCACAGCCTGGCTCACAACTGCCTATAACTCCAATACTAAAGGGTCAACACCCTCGCTGGCCTTGGTAGGTATCAGGCACATACAAGGAACACAGACATACATTCAGGCAAAATATCTATAAACATGAAAGTTTAAAATATAAAAAATTTAAAAATGATTCCTATATCAATGTAAGTCAAACATTAAGTGACTATTCCAATCAAATCTGATTTGAATTTATTTGTTTTACTATTATTTGTGATGTGGTTAATTCTGGAATTTGGCCTTTTTGCTTTCACTCAGTCTTTTCTATATTTTTGTTGTTGTTGTATTTCAGAATAAAATGGAACACAGAAATGACTTCAGTTCCATGAAGTTGAGTTAATGAAGGTCTCATTGTTTCTATATAAAATTATAAAAATCAATTAAAAAAATGACTTCAAGCCCCCACCCCCGGCCCCCGCCCCCCTTGACAAGAGGACTCAAGGTCATCAGGAGGGGTCACCGTTGTAGAAGATGCTCTTTTCCATGGGCTCCATGAATTCCATCCCCAGGACCCTCTCAAGAAGGAGCTTATCTTTTATAAAGTAATCCATTTCCTTATGGACCTAGTTGGAGAAGATAGTCATGTAAGGAACTGTATGAAATAAATGTTTTCCAGTGAACATCAAATAAGAAGTAGAAATGATAAGGAATGAGTAACATAACAAAGAAAAACTTGTGTAGAATGAATCACTACACTAGTATTTATAATAAAACTATTTTTAGAAAAGTTTTAAATCGCCAGGCGGTGGTGGCGCACGCCTTTAATCCCAGCACTCAGGAGGCAGAGCCAGGCGGATCTCTGTGAGTTCGAGGCCAGCCTGGGCTACCAAGTAAGCTCCAGGAAAGGCGCAAAGCTACGCAGAGAAACCCTGTCTCGAAAAACCAAAAAAAAAAAAAAAAGAAAAGTTTTAAATCTTAAATTCTGTGACTATATTTAAGGCTAGATAGACTGAAAATTGATTTATAAGATGATTTTAAGAATAGCATAAGGATTTCAATGAGTAATAAACATTTTGGTGACATAAAATTCTAGTATAGACCATTTAAGAGAATCATCATTTGCTAATGGGCACATTAAATTCACATCTTTCTTTTATATACTCTAACATTATCTCTAAACCATAAATTGTTAATGACTATAAATGTTTTTTTTAAAATATTTATAAGTATTAAATGAGACAGAAAACAAAAACAAGAGGTTCCCTGACGTGGTTGATTAAAAATAAACTCCCATTTAACTTTGCAAAAGCAGTGGATGACCCTTGCTTGCATACAGATATCAGCATACATACATGATCAATGAAAGAGCCAAGGAACTTGTTCATTGCATGGTATGCTTTTATACTTTGTTCAAAGGTGCTCGCTGATGAACTCAGTAGTCTGGCAGGGCCATTTCTCTAATATGGAAAAAAGAAATGTATAAATACAACACGCCTTGTGCTTTGGAAGTTAAATGACCTTAAGTATGGCAAAATACATGTGAACAATCCTTTATACAAACCCTTGTTAGTGTTTCATGAATTCTGTCATAGTGCTGTCTCATCTGATCAGACACTGCAATCTGAAAAGTCTGCCCATCTGTGTTGGGTACCAAACCTCTTTGGCTGCACAAATTTTCCTGAAAATTTTAAAGGATTTAAATTAAGACAGAAATGATTGCAAAAGGGCTTTCTTAAAAAGAGAAGCATACAATTTTTCTTTAGTTAGTATCATGTTACAGGATTGATTAACCTAGTGAGATTTTGCTGATAACTACTTGAGACAAAGATTCTCATGTTACTCATGGTCCACATCCTTCTCACCCAGCTTCCCTGTCGGTCTCCATGTTGTCTCGGTCCACATCCTTCTCACCCCAGCTTCCCTGTAGGTCTCCATGTTGTCTCCGCTAATTAACCCATCATTACCAGTTCCCACTGACACACACTTGTTCTAACATCCACTGATGACCACAGCACACACTCATTTACTATTAGTCACTGTGACGTAGTGGTTTCCTAATGGAAATGTCTGTTTTCTTCCCCTGCTGAGGAAGAACTTTCCCGTTTCCCTTGATAACTCTGAGATGTAGTTCACACGGAAACTAAAGGACAAAACCAGGCTCTATTAGCATTCAGGGTCATGAGCTGTGTCCCTGCAACTTTCAAAAGTCGCCTGTGAACACTGAAGTTTCCAACTGTAAAATAAAAAAGATGTAGAATACATTCCTACCGCTTCTCTCTTGAGATTCATATTCATTTCTTCCATGTTAGTGTCTGCATGTCCATGGACTGACCTCCCGTGAATGTAATACCCGAAACATCTGTGGGACAGCAGGAACACGGACACCTACAGAAAGAGGAGAAAGAAAGCCATCAGAGGCTCAGCCATAAAACTACAAAAGTTGGTTTTTGTTAAAATTGCTCCCCTCTCCCCAAAATGGTAAGCGCTGAATTTTTAGGAGGTACATGAGATGAAAACTAAGGTAGTGAGGGTAATGTAGGTAAAGGGAAAGAAAATTGGAGCTGTTTTCTAAGAAAGAAGACATTCTGATGTATGAAACAAATTTCAGGGGCTAAGGGTGAATGAATTATTAATTATTCATAATTAAGAACTGTGGATAAAGAAGAAAAAAGTTAAGGCAGGAGTATTAACTTGTAGAACATTATATCTATTCTTCATATTAATAATAATATTCTTCAGACTAATAATCCAGTCACCACAGCTTGTTAAACTGCAATAGAATGGCTGTGTGAAATGTATGGACACATTTGTAATGCCTCTCTAAACATACCTGTGTCTTTTCAAAGTGGACCAATAACAGTAACAGATGGGGTGAGAAAGTACTCACATTACTCATGGAGCACAGATCAACGAACTGCCGGATTTTGTCTTCTATGAATCTCTCATAAAAGGCAGCAAAGAAAAAAACCTGAAACAGTAAGTCAGGGTCATGAGGACTTGCCGCCAGGGCAGCCATCTTCCTTAATAACCACAGTGCAGTATTTCAGAATAAAGGAAGTTCCAACCAAGAACACAGTGGTCTCTAAATTTATTCCCATGGGATAAAGTCCCACTTGTCAGTTCTGATTCTAGCCTCAAATGGAGGGAGATTTAGAATTCTGTGAAGAGTTACTGAGAGAGTCCACTGGGAATTTTAAGAACTTATATGTGCTAATGAAACAAGGAAAGACAAAGGTGGGCAGAGAGTCTTACAAATTTAGACATATTAGTGCTGGGAAGAGGGCTCAGTATATAAAGTGCTGGCTGCACAGGCATGAGGACCTGAGTTTGGATCCCAGCAGCCGCATCAAAAGCCTAGTGTGGAGGCATGCAACTAGGCTCAGCACGAGGGTGGAGACAGTGGATAACTAAGAGGGACTCACTAAGAGACCCTCCAAGTACAGTGGAGTGACTGAAGGAGACACTGGACCTGATCTCTGGCTGACACATGTACACACACATGTCCACATGCACAAGTATGTACACCACCCACTCCCATATTTGAATAAATCAGTGTATTGGTGGCCAAGATATTAATCTTAAACCGAATAGCATATAGAAACATATTTAGCATTAAATTTTAACTACTGATAATGTGTTAACTTTTAAATGAAATGCTTCTTAAGTGTCTAATTATATAGATTTAATAGCAATACTAGTTAAGGGACTTTTATGATTTAAAAATTTCAATTGCAGACCTTTCTAGATATGTTCAGATAAACATGTTTCCTAACTATCCTATGTAGAGCTGCCCACTGCTCCCTACACTAACCTCCACTCTCCACTGTTGACTATCTCACATCCCTGTCAAGTATCTTCACAGCACACTCCCTAGTCAGCTCTTGTTAGAGCCCTCCCCTGAATTTGTCGATTATATAGAACACACTTAAGTCTGAGGATGGATTAGAGACTCTGCAGCAACTGATTTACAGTATGTCCTTAAACCAAGCCAAACAACAACAAAACAATAAGGACAACAACAACAACAACACGCACGCACGCACGCACGCACGCACACACGCTTTTAAAGAACGTGGAAATACCAAGTCAGGTTAAAGCATGTAGAAGGAAGGGACACTAGAGCCTGCCTCTCCCAATGCAGAGAGGTTAGATGCACGTGTGAGCTGCAGCAGAAAAGGAACGCACAGGCTACCTGAGGAGTGATCTTGGAACAGGCCACAGAGAGGAAGGCGTTCTGAGGGTCTGAAGGCAAAGTGAGAGCACAGAGGAGGGTAGGGGTGGCAGGACTGCCGGGCACTGTCCTAACCACCTTCCCCTTTCCTCTTGGCCCTAGACCTGTCCTTTGGGCAGGACACATAGATGCCTAGCCGAAGGGCATCAGCACAGTTAGGCGTGGCCACATGACTAAGTTCAAGTTCAGAAGACACCGAGTGCTACTTCACAAAGACTGTTTCTTTAAAAACAAGATTTTACTTTGAAGAGTGTGTGTACCTGCTGTGAGTACGTATATGTGCATGTGCAGGCAGGCATCTTCAGAGGCCAGAGAGGCCACTGGATCCTGTAGAGTTGGAGTTACATAGGTTGTGAGCTACACAATTCATGTGCTTGGAACCAAATTCTGTTCCCCTGCTAGAGTACCTACTGCTGTTCTAGTTAGTTTAAATCACTATCTTGATATGGTCTAGTCACCTGAGAAGGGAGTTTCAGTTGGGGGACTTCCCAGGTCAGACTGGCTTTGGGGTGTGTCTGTTGGGGCTCGTCTTGACTAGTAGCCGATGTAGGAGAGCCCAGTTACCTACGATCGCTACCGTTCTGTGGGTGGGGGGTCCTGTGCTGTATGAGAACCTGGTCAAACAGGAGCCTGGAGACAAGCCAGCAAGCTCCCTGCAGGGAAGGCTTCAGTTCCTGGCTAAGTCTCTGCCCTGACATCCCTCACTGATCACCAGGGACCGCCCTAGTTGTTTTTGTCACTGGTGTAAGGCACAGTGACAAAATGAGAGTAGAACACTCTTAACCACAGTCATTTCTCCAGCCCCAAGAGTTAAAAAGGGACAGGAAAACCAGACTCCCAACTCCTCCTGTACACCCATCAGCCATTATGGACCAGGAGATGAACTCAGGGATGGAGGTTCCACCTGACAGAGAACAGGCTTCTGGGTCCCACTGAGAGCAACGCGAATGTTGAGAACAACCTGTACTGCCGACATCTGCCCTTCGTTTTCATGAGAAGTGGGAGGGAGGGGGAGGGGATGGCTTGTTCCCTGACATTCCTGTTTTGTTTTGTTGTTGTTACATTTAATGAAATGGGAAATGTTTCAGACAGCAGTCTGTGAAATTCTCTACAATGATGCTACTTTAAAATCACAAAACACAATGGTATGTGGACAATACCACCCAGCCCTACACTCATCAAAAGATCTTATTTCAAGTTCACTCTTCTGTGTGCTCTTCTCTCCTGGTGGTCATTCACTAACTAGTCCCAGTTGAACAGGGTCACCAATGCAGAAAAAGTGTGCATCCCAAAAGTCAGTTCTCAGGCTGGGAAGGCAGTTCAGTGGTAAAGCCTTGCCTGATATATGTGAGGCCCTGCGTGCAGTTCCCAGTTCTGGGGGAAATGTCCATTCTCAGGTTATGGAATGCCACTTGAGTCCAAAGGAAAACGATAATTTAAACAGACACAGAAAATGACATCTAAACAAAGATAAACAACAAGAAAAAGAGAATACCCAAAGTATAGCAGCACATCTGGCCCCTTGGTTACATATAAAGTAGAGTCTGTCCGGGGTCTGAGATCCAGAAGACCCTTCAGAGTCTACAATGGATAGGAACTGAACTCTGAAACGAAACTGCCTGGGTTCAAATTCCAGTGCTGCCAACTCTAACTGTGAGACTTTAAGGAACTAGTTAACTCTCCAAAGCCTCGGGTTTTCTTGCTTGTCACATGAGGATACTAACTTAACCCGTCTCTGAAGGCTAACGTACAGACTAAGTAGTTAATGTGTGTAAAGCAATTATTGATTCTCACAGTGCCTGGATCACGATTCAATATAAACAGCCATTATTGTTGCCTTTGTTACCTTCTTTCAGCATTTGGAGACGGTAGGACCTAAGCAGGGTTATAAACTGGGAATGTCACTTACAGTACAATCTCGTTACCTGTATTATTCCAATCACCAGCCAGATAGCGGTAGCCACGGCATATCTCAAAATACGGCTGTAAGGAGCTATGTAGTCTGAAGGGTTTCTAGAAAGGCTAGAGGATGAATCCATTAATGCTAAGTTTTTGAACCCCACAACCTGAAGGAAAAGGAAAAACGGGAATTTAAATAGACATAGGTAAAAAAAACTCTTCCAGACTGAAAATGAAATATTCATCTCTACTTACCTTTTAAAGCTAAAATATCTAAGCTTGCAAACAGTAGGAAAACCTAGACACAAATCACAAACCTAAAACTACCAGTAAGTTAAACAAACAACTAGCAATTCACAAGTAGTTAACATGTGCTGGGTACTACATTAAATACTTTCTGTATTGCAAAACAGTACACTCCAATTTAGTGGGTAGCCATTCCAGCTTGGATCTGGAAGTTCCAACCCCCATTGAGACTCTGGCAACTGTCACGCCTACGAGGCGGGGCGAGGGGAGGCACCTGGAGACCCGAGAGCTGGATGGGCCAGAGCTCTCTGTGTGCTCTCTCTGTGCCGGGACGCTGAACGTCGATGTGGTTAAAGACTAGATAGTTATAATTTCCTCAGTTATGATAAAAGATAAGTTAGATATAAAACCTTAAACTCATAAATATAAGATAGATAGGACATCTTCTTTAATATTGTAACTGTAATTCTTGCTCTATAATTGTTTGGTTATATGTAATTTTACCATGTTAAAGTTAAAACCTTCCTTTTTAAAAAAAGAAGAAAAGGGGAAGTGCTGTAGATATCACTCTGTATAAATAAAACACTGATGGCCAGTGACCAGGCAGGAAGTATAGGCGGGACAAGGAGAGAGGAGAATTGGGGAAACAGGAATAAGGAGGGAGAGACACTGCAGCCACCGCCAGGACAAG